CTGGGTTAACATGGGAGAAATTCTAACATTATTGCACAGGGGCAATGGAAAGAGAGGGAGACATTCCAGACACTGGTGAGCTGACAAGCTTAGCTGGCGCCTGAAGCACTGGGGAGAGGCTGACCTCTCTCTCCAGGGCAGCCGCCTGTCCTCAGGAGGAAAGACAATGCTTGCCTACAAACCAGAAAGCAGGTTGATAGTTCTGGTGGTTTCCATTTTCTTGGTGACCATCAGATGGGAAGGAGGCTGGACAGGAGTGAAGGGGTTCCCCAGAAGGGTGGCTGGGTGAGGGATTCCATTTTGTGCCTTTGGTAGAGGCTTCCTGGTGTTGAGCAGTTTGGGTGTGCTGGCAGGTTCAGAGTACAATGTTGGTTTGGATTTGGAAGAATCCAGAAATCCCCGAGAGCAGTCCCTAGAGAGGTCTCCTAACTGGTTTCTTGGAATTCCACCCGTTTGAGTCATTTTCCTGTAATGCTAGTGTGGGCACGGCAGACATACCTTTTCTTTAACTCTTTCAGTGAAGACAGAAAAAAGTGGTAAATTGCTTCTAAGGAAGGAAACAGGCCCAGCATAGTTCAGGGCATCCTTGTATAGTGTTTGCGGTGGAAGGTATTAAAAACTCACATGGGTTTATGTACTTTGCAAAAGACAAAACCCCCACCTTAGAACAGTGGTTCTCAATCTATGGGTCGCAACCTCATGAGGTGTCGCCTAAGACCGTCCATCAGAAAACAGATATTTACATTACAGTTCCTAACAGTGGCAAATCTGCAGTTATGGAGTAGAAATGAAAATATTATGGAGGTCACCACAACATGAGGTATTAAAGGGTCGCAGCATTAAGGAAGATTGAGAAACACGGCTTTATAAGTTTCCATGGCTTTCCACCCACCTCAGGGGAATGAAACCTTTCGTCTGTAATGCTGTGGCTGGGGCTGCCCTTCCAACCTCTCCAGCATGCTCTGGCTCTGCTAGGCTCTTCCCGGCCTCGCCTGGAGTCTGCATACAAGCCTTTGCTTTTGCCTCATTTTCTAGTCCTATTTCCTTTCTCTGTTTCAGCCCCCTATACCACACACATGTTCACATCCCCTGGTCCCAAGCATTTCGGGAGGAGGCATTTGTAAAAATCCCGATTAACGGCTAGGAGCGGGCCCATCCTGCCTCCCTGCACTAGTCCCGGTGTCGGGTTCCTGGCTACGGGAGGACACGCCACCGAGTGCGCGCAGCTCAGGGAACAAAGGGGCAGGGCACTCGGCTCGCGACCGTTGTTCCACAGCAGCCACCGTCTGGGCACTCTGGGAGGAAAGGCAGGCTGCCTAGGAGCCGAAGCCGAGCGGCCTGGCCCGATGGGGGAAGACATGCAGCACCGGGAGGAGGCGGCCGCGCGGGGCGAGACCACGAGACGGCCTGGCCCGCAGCACTGGGGGAGGCAGACGGCGAGAGAGTCCACCGGCTATGGCGGGACAAGGCGAAGGCCCTCAGTGTCCTGCTTCGACGTGAGCCACCCGGCAGCCGCCACACTCATGGCGACCAGGCCAGTAAAACCGGGCCGACCCGGGTCCACCGCGGCGGCCACACAAGCCACAAGGGGGTGGGGGACGCGGAGGGAGCCGCCCCGCGCCTGCGCACCATAGCCCCACCCACCGGGCCGCCCCTCCCCGCCCTCTGCGTGCGCACCGCCTCAGGTCCGCCTCTCCGAAAGACGGCTGGCGCGTGCGGCCCGGCCGAGCACTGGTTACCCGAGCCTCACCGTGCGCGCGTCCGCCTGCTTGTGGCTGACGTGAGACTCTGAAGCCGGCCTCAGGTAGGCTGACTTCGGGGATCCCGGAGGAACGGCTCCCGGGTGCAGGAGCCCGTGGCGCCGACAGAGCCCCGGCGCGGTCGGCCACGCCACTGGGGTGATAAACGTCTGTCCTCACCAATCAGGGGAGAGACATCCCGGCTCCTGCCCTATGGGCTGCATCTCTAACGGGAGCGGGGCGGGCAGTCACGGAACGCGAGGTACCGGCTCCCGCGCGCGGGCCGCGTGGCCCAGCTGAGGGAGAGGGGTCGAGCGGGGAGACCCGGGCAGCCGGGATCGGTGTGGTGGAAAGTGCCGAAGGCCGCCGCCGAGGGGCCTCCCCGGGCCTCAGCCTGCCACCGGTGGGGCCGGCCCGGCGGCCTGGCGAATCCTTCCTGCCCTAGCCCGCGGGAGGAGGGGGTTTGTAGGCTTGCTGGGCCTCACGGGCCTGGCCGCCCAGCCGCTGTCGCTCTTTCCAGTCCTGGGCAAAGATGCTGGCGTTTGGAGCTGGTCTACGTCAGCGTGGCTCACTTACGTCCACGCTCGTCCTTTTGAACCTCAGCAGCTCGGTGACGCGGCTGCTGCTGCGGGGGTTCTCGTCCCACTTTTTTATGGCGGCGCAAACCCAGGCAGCGGGCGCCCCGGGGGGCTAGATTGAGATCTCAGCACCAGCGGGTTCTGAGCTTATTTCCTTTCCTTCCCTCCCTCCCTCCCTCCCTCCCTCCCTCCCTCCCTTTTTCCTTTTTTTTTTTCATCTCTTGATCTATATTGCTTTTGTACTTGAAAACCTTTAGTGTCTTGTCATCTTCAGGAAAAACTTCAGCGTGGACATTCAGCTTTGCGCATCCATGGGCTGGCCCTTTGCCCAACCCATCCCTTTGCCCTCATCCTCTTTCCTTGGTGTATCCCCGGGGCTCACTTGCTTTTTCACGCGTTGCTGTTGTTTAGCTTGGTTCGGTCAGACAGCCTTTAAGGCCCATTGCAAGGCAGGTCTTCAAAACGAGTGCCTGGATCCTCCTGACTCCAGGTCATCCCTCCCTGTCCTCTGAAGAGCCCCAAGAGGCTACCTTGCTCCTGTCACTGAAAGATGGGCTTTCTTATTTCCCTTTAAGAGCCTCGGTGTGTTCTCTGTGCTTCCTTCCATCAAACCCTGCTACTCGTTTAATTTTAAGTGTTTTAACCAGCCTGCTAGAAATTTGAAGTGTGGACCCTCATCTGACTTACATATTTTTGAGGTGCCCCTAACATGTGAGTAGCTCTCCCATAGTAGGTAGTTTGTAAATGTTAGGGAATGGGCCCTCTCCAACTGGATCTTTGTGGTTGTTTTTTTTTTTTTTTTCTTCTTGCCAGTCACTGTGGGAAGACTGCCATAGTATTCTCTGGTGGGGCAAGGTGAGACGATTCTTGCAGTAGCAACCTGTTCTGAACTCATTCAGAGTGGCTGAGGAATCTGTAGGAACATCAGAAATTTTCTCTGTGTGTCTAATAGACTTCGTGAGATATGCCAGGTTAGCACATACACACCTAAAATATACCCAAGTTTGGTATGCATGTGCTGATAAGGAACCATTCAGTTATGAGGTGACAGCAAATCTCCCAAATAACATTTAGTGTGAGGAAGAAACTGTGCCATATTTTGGGGTTCACAATCTGCATTAACATACTGAAAACTCCTGAAGATCATGGGTTAAAGATTAGTCAGAATTTCTTTTGATTTTTTCTTTCCCCATAAAGTAAGTCTCTTCCCTCTTTTGAGATAGGGTCTCCTTATGTTTGTAGAGTGTCTTCAAACTTGGGACAACCCTCCTTCCCAAGAGCACCCTTTTTCTCCCCTCAAGATAGGGTTTCTGTAGCTTTGGTGCCTGTCCTGGAACTCTTATAGATTAGGCTGGCCTCACAGAGATCTGCCTGCCTCTGCCTCCCTAGTGCTGGATTAAAGGCATGCGCCACCACCACCACCCAGCTATGTAACCAGTCTTGAGACCCAAGAAACTAATGGAAAGTCCAGGTCCATAGAGAGCAGACTGCGGGGATGGAAAGGGCTCCTTAATGACCCCAGAGGTGATGTGGAGCTCAGATGCTTACTTTTGGCTCATTCCTTACATTTTCCCAAATGAGATCTTTGGAGACCTGCTCTTCACCACTGTCAATAGATACATCCCCAGAAAGCAACTGGGCCGAAGGGGTCCAGCTCTTAAATGATGGCTGCCCCACCTCCTGGTGCTGGGACTAAAGGCGTGTGCCACCACCGCCCAGCTGAGTAATCCTTTACAGGCCTTTCTGGAAACCCGATTGCATTTTGCGGAAACATACTTTTGAAACATTGCAGCAGAGAATAGAAAAAGCAGGCTAACATTCTTTGCTGTTTGAGGGGAAAGATATTTCAATCATTATGATTTCCTTGCCAAGTATGTTCCTGGGAGGAGTGGGGCTGGGAAATGCTTCCAGCAAAACTTCCCTGTCCTTGTTCCTTAGCTTTAATTTGGCCTCACACAGAGTGTTCTAGAGGGGGAAAAAAGTGTCTTTTTGCTGACGTGTTTTCCTGCCACAGGGTGACTGAATTTTCTCTTTTTGGTTAAATTTAGGTTTGCTGACCCAGTGGTCTCCCAAGCTGGGGACTGGTGATAAATCTTTTGATGTGTCACTGTCTCCTTGCTTGTTGATGCTGTTTTCCCTGGTCTCTTGATTCTGCTGACCTTGCATCTACAGTACTTGTCTCGAGTGTTTCTTTTACTACATTATTACTATCTGGGTTTAATGTGATCTCTGTTTGCCTCCTCCTCTGTTCAGTATGGGCTTTGGACTGGATTATTTCACAAGTTCCATTTCCTTTAGCCTGTATCATCTCTTTAGGGCATACCTGGGAGAGATTGCTGCCAAGAAACATTAATTAAACTACAGATGAGAACTACATGTAATTGAAGGAACTGGAGGTTTTGTATGACTTCTTTTAAACGCTTAACAGTTCTTTCCTGTTGGTCAGTCTTCTAGAACTTAGCAGAGCTTTGTTCTCTGTGTGTTTAGCCAAACACATTTTTTTCAAGGAGAATTGGAATGCTCTTTCAAGATTGTGACTTTTTCTCTCATATAAGGGAAATTTTGAGACATTTGCCTGGTACTCGGTGTCTGGCAATGATACTGGCTAACTGGCTGTGAAGGTTTATTTGTAAGATGTATATATAAAAATCTGTGTGTACTTATATGTAAATTTCCCTTCTAGGTTAAAAGGGAAAATGAAGTACATTCTGGTTACTGGTGGTGTTATATCAGGAATTGGAAAAGGAGTCATTGCTAGTAGTGTGGGCACAATACTCAAGTCATGTGGCTTACATGTAACATCAATTAAAATTGACCCCTACATTAACATTGATGCAGGGACATTCTCTCCTTATGAACATGGTAAGCGAACTGCAATTTTCTTTTCTAAATAGTAGCTGTGTCTATGTAAGAACATGCTAGCTCTTGGGGATTAGGTGTACATCTTGCATAATTTCCATTTCCTGCCTTCTAGAATGATCCTTAGTGTAACAGAATGATGATTTTTCTCATCATAAAAGGAAGCAGCTATCTTAATAGATAACTTATTTTCTATAATAGATGTGGAATGTGGGTGGCAGGTGGGTGTGGTGGCAGCGAAATGAAAGTTTTTCATGTCATTTAAAAGAAGACAAAATATGCTGTTTGTGGCCCTGAGTGCTGGGATTAAAGGTGTGCATCACCACTGCCTGGCTGGAGAAGCAGGGTGGCATAGGACTGTAGTAGTCGTCCTAGTACTTAAGGAGGCTGAGACAGGATTGCAAGTCTGAGGCCAGCATGGACTAACTACATAGTAAGCTCAAGGCTAACCTGGGCTGCTTGTTCAAGGCTAGTTAGGATTATATAGCAAGACCTTGTGAAAACAGTGAAACTCATTAAGACCCTGTGCCTTCAAGTTTTAAAGTTCTATACTTTTGCTTTTTAGTGTTGAAATAAGAATCTGGAGGATATATACTGCCGTTTTAACAAGTAGCATCAGAGGATCCATATACTAGAGGAATTTTATTGTTCTCTCAGTTCTAGAGGATTGAACTGAGGGCTTTGTGTGGTAGCATTGCCCATCCACCTTTGAAGGGATTTTAATACAAACTTCTTGAGCAGAGGTTGGGTTCTCTGAAGGGTGATATAAGACGGTTTTCCTGTTTTTGAGCTTGTTCCCTGTGTAGATGGTGGGAATGAGTCATTCTAGGCAGCATTTCCATCATGAAGTTGCGAAGAATAAATGTGAAACAAAGGAATGGGGCAACTAGGACTATTAATAACTGCCCAGAGCTAAAGTATGCTCCAAAGCTGGCTTTAAAGTCAGTACACCCTTCTTTATGTCATAGAAGTTTCGAATAGTCCTGCTTCTTTTCTTGAACGTTTGCTGCTTGGGTAGGTCTTTTGTTCAAGATCCTGAGTTACTGCAGCGTCTCTTCACCACAGTCTTCATGACTGGGCTTTCCCCCATTCCATGCTTCCCAGTAGTGAGTGAGTTCAGGTTGGAAGCACGAAGCACTCTTTTGGAGAGTAATTGGCAGTTGTCTTCAGACATTTAGTTTTCTAGAAATAATGTCCTTGTTTTGTAATCTGGTTGTGCAGACTTTGTTCCATCTGAATGTTTATATTTCAAGATTGAAATTGCACATGGCAAATGTGTTTTTCATTTCCTTGAAATGTTCACTCTCCACTGAAGGAGAAGTTTTTGTGCTGGATGATGGTGGAGAAGTTGACCTTGACTTGGGAAATTATGAGCGGTTCCTGGATATCCGCCTCACCAAGGACAATAATCTGACCACGGGGAAGATATACCAGTATGTCATTAACAAAGAGCGCAAAGGAGATTACCTGGGGAAGACTGTCCAAGGTAAGACTGGATTTACCTTTAAGAAAGAAACTATTAGCCAATTTAATTTCTTTTGAGTATAAAAATTTATTTTTATGTGATTTTAGTATTTTGTCAAGGTATTATTACCAAAATATCTTTTCGGTTGGAAATTCAGAATTGTATGGCTATTCCCTCAGAAAATCCTTGGAGAAAGCTGCTATTGGCTCTAGTAATGGCATAGGTGTTGTCAGTCAGCATGGCGACATGGTTGGATTCCGGAGAGCTGCTGCTTTTACATGCTAAGCAGTGAAGGAAGCTTAACTGAGGCATTGTGCTTGGTGGCTTGTGTAAGTGATGGGAAATGAACTTCCGTTGCTTATGTTGGGAAACATACATGTGACATAGGCTTTTCATGTGATGGAAGTCTGAGAAGTGGGCTCCTGGGCCCTCTGGAGTTTTCACCAGCTCAGCTGACATCTCTGTTGGCTGTTCTGAGATTTTCTGTAAGTAGTCATTTAGGAAAAGTGCTCCCTGCTTTGAAATGGTGGCACTGGGACTCCATTGGTCTAGTGGGATGGCAGTATGCGAGTTTGGGCCATTGCTTTCCTCTGAGTAGAAGAGCAGTTTGCTACACTGAGAACCAAGGTTCAGCCTGACTCTGGTCTGGGGCTGCCCTGGCCAGAGTCTGGTCCAATCATTTCATAATTTGGGGCTTAGCTCTGTTACATACTAGCCCTATAAACACAGGAAGGAAAATTCTGTACCCTTTTGAGATGTGGTTTCCTTTTGTGTAAAATGGAGGTGGTAAAGGCTTCTGCTTTTTGAGTTGATAAAGAGTTAAAAGACTGCATCAGGATGCTCTGCTCCACCTTCCTGGCACATAGAGAGGGTCTGTTGTGAATTAAGGTCATGTTGGTTGTGCAGTTTGTTCTGGTGTACTTGTTCCTTTATTTGTCACCATGAAATGTGACTCATTAGTGGAACACAGGTACACAGGCCCCAGACTACAGGAATCTGTGGGCAAGGACTAGAGGGGAAACTGCTGTGGTTGAGACATTACAGTCTGGGACAGCAGCGCTGTCACCAGTGGACGTTATGTGAGGCTTTCACTGATTACTAAGGAGTTTAAATGTGGAGTAATGAATTCTGATTAGTGTTTGTAGATCACTTGGCTGCTCTGTGTGACGTAGGTAATGGATATTTATGCAAGAGCACTGTTGTTTAACCCCAGATCATTCCAGTCACCTGGGAATTGCATTCTTGACTCCAACAACTGTGATTCTAAAAAGTGTCCCACAGTAGCTGGTTATTACTGAATCCTGGATGTTCTGCTATCTTATAAGACATTCTCAGAAGTAGACGTCGTAATTACTTCTACTTGAAGACTCTCAGTACAGCTGGTGAGTCGTGAACCGAGATTTGACCCTAGGTGCCGTGCCTTTCACAGCTTTGCTGTGTTGTTATGTCTCTTGCAGTGGATTGCCTACCCTTTGGTTAAACTGGAAACATGGCACAGGGTTCTGGTAGTATGTTTGCTCCTGGAAAAACGCTCAGGTATGATGCACCCACTGCAGCTTCAGCTGAGAGCGGTAGGGGTGGTCACAGGTTTTGTGTCCTTGTGTAGTAGAAGAGTAGACTGCACAGGCCAAGTGTTTGGAGCTGCTTAGGGAGCCACTTTTGGCTTCATTCTTTTCACATGGCTTCCAGCAACAGTCTAGAAGTCTGGAAAGGAGGCCTAGAGAAGTGTGAACCCAAAGATTTATTGAGTAATTTAAGGGCACTTCAAAAATATTATGATCCTATTGCTTGTTTAGGAAGAACTTTTCCTAAGTACACCCATACCATTGCTTGTATATCTAGACAAGAAAGTATATCAGTTTGTCTTAACAGTCAATGTATTTGCCTTCATAAATGCTGATTGATAGGCAAGCATAAGTTACAGGTTTCTTTTCTTTTCTTAGTTGTCCCTCACATCACAGATGCAGTCCAAGAGTGGGTGATGAGACAGGCATTAATACCTGTAGATGAAGATGGCTTGGAACCTCAAGTGTGTGTTATTGAGGTTGGTATGATTCTTGCCTGTGTGAACTAGTTCAGTCATTCCTTTCCTTAGCCATCAATAGGACCATGCTCAGTCAAAACCCAGCCTTCCATTTCTGTGCATGCAGTGTGCAGCAACAGATAGAATGGTGCACAGGGGAGACAATATTTTCCCTAACAGTGTTCTCTTTTAGTGTGTGTTGGACAGTCTAACACATACTCAGAGTGACAGGACACATTTTTGTCACTTGTTATTAGTAGCCCTTTGCTTGCCTCTGCTTGCTAGCTTCCTTTGCTTTGTTTCTATTCTACTGTCTGTTCATCCCAGCTCAGGAAGTCCCAGCAGTTTTGTTATAACTGGTGGTTTTTAGTAGAAAGGTTATACTTAACTAAGGAGACTCATCTAGGTTTGTTTGTTTGTTTGTTTGTTTCTTTCTTTTTCTTTCATTCTCATTCATTCATTCTCTGTGGTTCTCAAGTGAATCAACAATGCCTAAGAATTATAGTCTAGTTTCTGGTTCCTTCCCTCCCTCCCTCTTCCTCCTCCTTTTTTTTTTTTTTTTTTTTTGAGACAGGGTTTCTCTGTGTAGCCTCAGACTCACAGAGATTGGTTTGCTTCTGCCCCCCAAGTGCTGGTATTAAAGGTGTGTGTCACCACTACCTGATTCCAGGTACCTTTCAAGCCCAGTCATTTTCTTAAAATGCTGTGACGTTATCTTCAATATTTTTAGGGAAATCAGGAGTTCCTAATAGTATCAACTTTGAGCGCAAAGCAGTGTCTGAAGACTGACATTCTGTAAGGCTAGGAGTTTACAGTTACACTGCAATCTGGGCACTGAAATGATAGAAATTCAATGTTAACCTCTGAGATGGTGTTTCTTTTCAGCTTGGTGGCACAGTGGGAGACATTGAAAGCATGCCTTTCATTGAGGCCTTCCGCCAGTTCCAGTTCAAGGTCAAGAAGGAGAACTTTTGTAATATCCACGTCAGTCTGGTTCCTCAGGTAAGGTGTACAGTTTGGTTTTAAGCTTTCAACACTGGAGGTACAAGAAATAGGAAATAAAGAACTTCTGTGAGTTTATTACAATCACACGCTTTATTTATTTGATGTATGTAGCTGAGTCTTCTTGTTAGTCCGTGTTCTGAAAGATTAAATGGAAAAGGTTTGAAAAAATGAATCAGGATTCATTGTAATAAAGGTGGTAGATTGAACATGTATGCTTGTCTTTGCTCTCTGTCAAAATCAGAGTGAAGTACTTTTTTTAAGACAGAAATTCAGAAAAGAGCATGGAGATGAGTTGGCAGTAATAAAAGTAAGGAATTTACAAAGGACACTGACACATAAAAACTGACTGAGCAATCTTGGGTGTGCACCTGTAGCAGGGGGTGCTGAGAAGCTGTCCTTTTTGCTCTGTGGCCCCTCCAGAGGCTCATGATAGGCAGTGTCAGGCTCTTCTAGGAGTAGGAGGAGTATAGGGCTCACTGCAAAGACTGCTCATACCTGTTTGCTTTTGTGCCCAGTCAGGCATCTGCGTCTCTTTTTTTTCTATAAGATAGCCCTGGGAAGAGTGTCTGACAAGCAGACACTGGATAGTTGAGAGCAGTGGTGCTGAACCATAAACATGCCATGTTGCTGAGATGCTTACTGTCTTGTACCTATTGGTTCTCAGAGTCTTCAGAGCCAGGCTGGGCCCCTCCACATGGGAAGTCTGAGACTTCTGTTATGTGTGACTAGCCTAGGAGAAGACACTGCTCCTAAGGCTCCTCAGTCACCAGCCTATCTTTTTTTTTTTTTTAACTCAAACAGCTGACAGATTTATTTTCACATTTCACAATGTAAGTGAGCGCTGCACTTTTTCTAACCCCACTTCCTCCCTCCAAACTATTCTGTCAGGAAAGGGGAAGCCTTGCTTGTCGTGCAGCTAGAAAACACCCAGGCTCAGCACTGTGATCTCCTGCTGAAACGGAACAAGAAATACAAAACCGAAATAGAGCCTTTCCGCTCTTATCTGTCTGGCCGAGTCATGCCAGGCCTTGTGGGCACCATCATAGGACGAGCAGGGGGTCTCATCATTGGAGGCCCGGGCATCATGGGCATGTGGCCACCCATGGGAGGCCTCATTCCAGGAGCAGGTCCCACGGGCATCATCCCAGGAGGAGGTGGACCCATCATCGGCATCATGGGAGGGCCTCCAATGTGGAGTGCAGGCATCATGCCAGGGCGAGGAGGACCCGGGAGACTGGGGGGAGGCGGGATCATGGCCCCTGCAGGAGGAGGAGCAGAGAATGGAGCTGGAGGTATCTTTCCTTGTTGAAATGCAGCCGTTGTTTTGTCAATCAGGCTCTGGGCCTGCTCTTCCATCCATTTCTGGTAGTAGTCTTTCACGTTCTCCTTGTGTTTCCGACCGCTGCAGTGCGTCTTTCTCACAGATGGAGAATCATGCGTAAGATACGTATCACAGTAGTCACAATAAAACTTAGGCATGTTGGCCGGGCGATGGTGGCGCACGCCTTTAATCCCAGCACTCGGGAGGCAGAGGCAGGTGGATCTCTGTGAGTTCGAGACCAGCCTGGTCTACAAGAGCTAGTTCCAGGACAGGCTCCAAAACCACAGAGAAACCTTGTCTTGAAAAACCAAAAAAAAAAAAAAAAAAAAAAAACTTAGACATGTTGCTCCACAGGCCGTTGGCTACTCGCTCACCAGCCTATCTTTTTTTTTTTTTTTTTTTTTTTTTTGAGACAGGGTTTCTCTGCGGCTTTGGAGCCTGTCCTGGAACTAGCTCTGTAGACCAGGCTGGTCTCGAACTCACAGAGATCCGCCTACCTCTGCCTCCCGAGTGCTGGGATTAAAGGCGTGCGCCACCACCGCCCGGCTACCAGCCTATCTTTTATAGGGAACTTCTAGTTTGCTTTTAGATAGGAATCAGCAGCCAGTAACTGTATGTGTTCAGCAGGAACTGGATGCCACATGACAGGAACACAGGTAAGAATTGAAGCTAAGAATTAGATAAAACAGAGATGACAGTAAGAAGGAGGGAAGCTGAAGAAAAACCCAGAAGTAGGACAGAGACAGAAAATAGGAGAGAGAAGGTAAGAAAAAGAGGATTGGTCCAGATCTGTTATATATAGCAGGGTATCCTGTAAAGAAATAAGGGAACTGGAGGACCAAGAAGGCTGAGTCTGATGAAGCAGGACTTGGCTGATACACTCCTCCTAGACAAATGGGTGAAGAACGCAGCCCTCACTGGAGAAAACCACAGGGTTGACTGTACAACCCAACATTTTCCAGCACTATCTTTGCTATTCTTTTTTAATTAAATATCAATTGAAGAGAGAAAAAAAAAAGAAATGAAGAGGGAAATGTAGTTTGAATCACAGGTTGTATTTGAGGGCCAAGGGCTATTGATTGGCTTTTTTTTTTTAGGTTTATTTACTTATTATATAGAATGTGCTGTGTCTACATATGCTTACATGCCAGAAGAGGTCATCGGATCTCATTACAGATGGTTATGAGCCACCATGTGGTTCCTGGGAATTGAACCCAAGACTTGGAAGAGCTGTCAGTGCTCTTAACCTTTGAGCCATTTCTCTAGCCCCTAATGGGCTATTTTTTTTTTAAAGGCTTGTTTTATGGAAATAGATCTATATTCCTTGGTTGATGTGTCATCTGTGAAACAAAGTTGAATTTGTATGACAAACTATGGTCCACAAAGCTCAAAATAATAACATTAGTAATAGTAATGGGCTTTGAGATGGATAATATGCCATGATGTAGCTCAGAGAGGACTGGACTCACTGTAGTCTAGACTGTTGGCCTTGAACAGCCTGCTAAGTGTTCAAGTAAAGGGCATGAGCCATGACGTAAGACTAAACCCTAAAGTAATTATTATCTGGCTCTTTACAGAGTTTACTGGCCTCTGATCTGAACAAGAAAACTTTTTAAGACACAGTTTCTAGATTGGAAGAGCCCATTGTGTGCTTACTGTATTGATTCTAAAATGGCCAGACTAAGGTTCAGAGTGATGAGTGTAGCTACAGATATTCCCCGCCTGCTGCGCCCCCTGGACCAGGTTTTCTCTGTCCACCTGTTCCTGAAGCTGCTTATAAATTATAAACCTCTCTGTCTAGGTTGTGGCGGTGCACACCTTTTTCCCAGCACTCGGGAGGCAGAGGCAGGCGGATCTTTCTGAGTTTGAGACCAACCTGGTCTATAAGAGCTAGTTCTAGGACAAGCTCCAAAGCTACAGAGAAACCCTGTCTCGAATGAAACCAAAAAACAAAAACAAACAAAAAAACCTCTGAGGCTTAGTATTTATTACATACGCTTTGGCCTATTAGCTCAGGCGCTTTTTATTAACTAATTCTAATATCTTAAATTAACTCATTTTTATTATTTTATATTTTATTACAAGGCGTCTGCCTGCCTCTACCTTCTTTCTCCTTGCATTGTTTAGTTTTCTCGCCTAATTATATTCTGTCTTGCCATAGGCCAAAGCAGCTTCTTTATTAATCAATAGTAATAGAACATATTCACAACATACAGAGGGAATCCCTTATCAGTGAGAGTATAGAATAATGAAGTAGAAGACTTCAAAGGCCCTATGGAAAAAAATTAAGTCAGTATGACCAAACTGCATTAAACATTCTTTTTTTAAAAAAATATTTATTTATTTATTATGTATACAATATTCTGTCTGTGTGCATATCTGCAGGCCAGAAGAGGGCACCAGATCTCTTTACAGATGGTTGTGAGCCACCATATGGTTGCTGGAAATTGAACTCAGGACTTTTGGAAGAGCAGGCAATGCTCTTAACCACTGAGCCATCTCTCCAGCCCAGCATTAAACATTCTTGAGGCAATGTTTCTTCTCAACCTGCCTAATGGCTGTAGCCCTTTAATGCAGTTCTTAGGTTGACCTAAGGTGGTGGTGACCTCCAACTATAAAATAATTTTCGTTGCTACTTCATAACTGATTTTGCTGCTGTTACGATTTGTAATAGAAATAGCTGTTTTCCAATGGTCTTAGGTGACTGTTGTGAAAAAGTCATATGATTCCACCAAGGGGTCACAGTCCACAGGTTGAGAACCATCATTCTAAGGGAAGGTTCTTTCCGACTGAGAACTCTAAACCTAGCAGATCTGTCTTAAGTGTGGGAAAAGAATAAAGATACTTTATTATAGACAAAGTATGGCACATGGCCTACCTGAATACTTCATGTACTCAAGAGTGTACACAGCTGAAATAGCATCATGGGTCAGGAGGGAGAGAGCTCAGTAGAGCATGCCTTAGACAAGCTGAGCTGTGGCAGAAAAGCAGGGCAGTAGTTTGGAAGTTGACATGGACTGGGGGCTGTCTTTAGTGTCGGCCAAGCTCTGGTTCAGTTCTGCCCCAAATACAGATATGGAAAAAAGCCCATTATTTGTAGGATTTGGAGAGTGGCAGGGTGAGACCGTGCAATATTGTCTGTTAAGCTAAGCCCCCATAGAACCATTTGACCCTAAAGAATATGCATGTGTAACTTCAATAAAAATCAAGGCTGAATTGTACAATCAAATTTTCCAATCAGAGGTTTAGAGAAAAGTCCTGCTTGGAAAGCTGTCAGAGAAATGAACCACTTTTTTTTTTTTTTATTTTGTAAAACAGCCAAGTTCAACAGGGGAACAGAAGACAAAACCTACCCAAAACAGTGTTCGGGAGCTTAGAGGACTTGGGCTTTCTCCAGATTTGGTAAGGTTTCCTTCAATGCCTGCTTTTGGTGTTACTGACCACATCTAATTAAAATCTAGCTTCTCGCTGAGAGGCAGGTGGATCTCTGTGAGTTCAAGGTCAGCCTGGTCTACAGAGTGAGTTCAAGGACAGGCTCCAAAGCTACAGAGAAACCCTGTCTTGCACGCCCCCCCCCCCCCCCCCAAAAAAAATCTTGGCCTCTGGTGTGATGGATGTTTGTCAGCAGATGTCTAATTGTGGAGAAAACAGGGCTTTGACTGGGATTGGAGTCTGATTTTCTTGCAGGCACATAGAAAGGCTTATACTTCCTCTTGTGTCTTGATTCTCGCAGTCCTTCACTCCTCCTAAGAACATTGAGGAGGAGGAGAACCAGTTAGCTCTTGTAGTTCACTCTTTCCCCCTTGCTGTCTCTCATGCTCTGCTTGGGATGTAGGAGTTGTGGTTTTGAAAACTAGATAGTGGTGTGTTTGTGGATCATGTGCAGTGTGCTTGGAGCTGACATTTTGGTCCATCTCAGAACATTACCGCTATTTTAATTCCAGTTGCGGAAAGCCCTACTTAGACTCTTCCTTCTGCTCCAAGTTCCTTGTTTTCTTAATTACTAGGTGGTGTGCAGATGCTCAAATCCTCTTGACACATCCGTGAAAGAGAAAATATCTATGTTCTGCCATGTGGAACCTGAACAAGTAAGTACTTTTCACCTCCGGAAATGACTTTACTTCTCCTTACCTTGGGGTAAAGGCATCTGGGGCTGGAGTCACGATCCTTGTGTGACTCTTAAGCCAGGGACTCCTCAGGTTCTGCTTCATGCTCAACCCATGGAACACAGGATGATTTTCATTTTTTCACAGTGATCCTTTATTGTGTACTTTATTTTAGGTACTTCTGTCTTCATAAGTGAAGAAGGGGGAAGATTTCTTTTCTTTAGCAGAATTGATTCTCATAAGAATTACTCTCTGGGCATGGCAGTGCACTGTTTTAATCCCAATATTAAGGAGGCTGAAACAGGTATCTCTGAGTTTGAGGCCAGCCTAGTCTACATGGCTAGTTCTAGGACAGCCAGGACTTCTTGTTTCAGAAGAACAAAAACAAAAAAAATAAAAGCTGTGAAAACTCTTTACTGTTACTCACATTTATTGCAGATTTGAATTGCAGGTCTTCTGCCTATTTTTGGATTGTTTATATCAAGCTATAAGAAGTTAATCTGAATGTAGTCTTTCGTCAGGTATTCAGTGTTTTTTCAGCCTGTGGCTTGCTTTTTATGCTCTTAGTGGAGCATAGAAACTTATAAATGTTCAATGTTTTCTTTTGTGAGTTGTGCTGCTTTCTCTGCTTAATGATGGTCATGAAAATTTTCCTCAATTTTCTCAAGTTTTATATCATACCAGACTCATTTTGAGTCAGCGTTTGTGTACAGTGTGAGGTAAGTAGTGACAGATTATCTTTTTGTGTATGAATATTCAGGTATCCAGCCCTACTTGTTAAAATCAATTTTTGTATAGTATGTAAGATTTGCTTCATAAACCTTAGATTTATGTATAACTTCATTTTTGTTACTATAGTGAATGATATTTTAAAAAACTGTTTTCTTGATTAGGAATAGCCCACATGCGGGGCACCCTAGTGGTTTCTTTTGATTTATAGTCTAGCAACCTACTGAAATTCTGTTAAGTCTTGTTTTTTATGGGCACATACAGTCAATCATGATGCATGCATGTAGTTCCAGTTGCTTTTATTTTTCAGATCACATTGTATTTCTTGTTTGACTTTAATGGGTGACATTTCCAGGATCTCTGACTAGTGATCAGAGCTATCTTCTCTCTCTCTATTTTTAAATTTTATTTATTTTTGTTTGTTTTTGGTATGAATACTCCATCTACATGTATCCCTACATGCCAGAAGAGGGCATCAGGGCATCAGACCCAATTATAGACAGTTGTGAGCTACCATATGGTTGCGGGGAATTGAACTCAGGACCTCTGGAAGAGCAGTCAGTGTTCTTAGCCACTGAACCAGCTCACCAGTCCTGAGCCATCTTCTCTTATTCTTTTAACAGAAAGCAGGAGTTTTGTTAGACTATGGGTATTTTATATTTTCAAAATTTACCTAGTATTCTTAATTTATCTCAATTTATTTTGAACAGGTTCTGAATTTTTATCGCCTTTATCCACAGAGATCTTACTTATCTCCTTTTTAATGTGTTCATGTGGCATGTTCCATTGTTATCTTATTATTGGCACATACTCATTGTACAGAAGGATCAGTTTCTTTATAACATTTCCATAGTATATATCGTGAATTTTGAATTTACTATTTATTTATTTTTGATTTTTTGAGGCAGGGTTTTTCTGTGTAGCCCTGGTTGTCCTGGAACTTGCTTTGTAGACCAGGCTGGCTTTGAACTCAGAGATTTCTGCCTGCCTCTGCCTCCAGAGTGCTGGGATTAAAGGTGTATGCCACCACTGCCTGTCTTGACTTTGTGCGCCCCCCCCCCCCACACCAACTTTTCTTATTTCCCACCTCCTTCTTCTGGTTTTCTACCTTTTACCTACTGTGTGAACCCCCTTCTACTTTCATGTCCTGTATTTGTTTTTAAAAATCTAGATTCCTTATGGGAGAGAAACCAAGGTCCACTTTAAAATGGGCCACTGCAGTAGATTTCAAATTTGACTGCACACTGGGATGAGCTGGGAGCCTGCCACTTCCAAACAGTTGGACCTGAGTGATTGTGCAATATAGCATAGACTTAGCAATTCTTACAAACTCCCTCAGAAATTCTTCTGTATAGCTGTTTGAGAATCACCGATTCTATTAATATGTAGGCATATTTTTGTTGTTATTTTGAGATAACCTAAGGTGGTGTCTAACTTATGCTTCCTTGCCTTAGCCTCCTGAGTACGGGAATTACAGGTGTGCACCACCACATCTGGCTCTTTTTTTAAAAAATATTTATTTATTTATTTATTATGCATACAATATTCTGTCTGCATGCATGCCTGAAGAGGGCACCAGACCTCATTACAGATGGTTGTGAGCCACCATGTGGTTGCTGGGAATTGAACTCAGGACCTTTGGAAGATGAGGCAATGCTCTTAACAACTGAGCCATCTCTCCAGCTCACATCTGGCTCTTTTTAAAGGATTTTTCCACTCATGTTCATAATAGTTTCCATTCACTTATTTTCTATTCTCGAATCAGTTGCAAGTTTATTTTTCTAGAAAAATCACTTTTTTTGTTCCAAATTAAAGTTTTCCTTTATTACGATCGTGTAGGTGTAACCCTAGTAAATTAGTTGTTTTTATTAACCCTCCCCCTTTTTTTAAAACAGGTCATCTGTGTTCATGATGTCTCATCCATCTACCGGGTACCCTTGTTGTTAGAAGAGCAAGGGGTCGTAGACTATTTTCTTCGGAGACTTGACCTTCCTGTTGAGAGACAGTCACGAAAGATGCTGATTAAATGGAAAGAGATGGCAGACAGGTTTGTCATAAGCAGTTGGGCATGCATATGTCAGTCTTTAGTAGGGCTCCACCATGCTGTCATAATGGGTAGAAAAGGTGCTCATAGAAAGATGTTCAGAAGGCTAACAAAGGATTTTATACCCAGAATGTGGTCACAACACAGAGGAGGATCTAGGTAGTCTAGGCCTGTTCCGAGGACTTCAAGCAGTGAGTTCAGATCACTACATTGTGCTGTACTATCTCATTAGCTCAACAGCACCAACAGCAGCCTGGTGGCAGAGGGGTACATGTATTCCCAGAGGCTACAGGAATGCTGGCCTTGGCGGCAGCACTCTTAATACCTAAACTGTGTTTGGGAACATGCCATACTCTCAGCTAGAAAATGCTGAGCAGGGATGAACTGCTGCCACCTTGTCCTTAAGCTCCGAGGTTGTCTCATTTCTGAGATACTAACTCATGGCCTAGAGCAGGGTGAGTCAAACTGTGGCAGGGTAAGCACACACAGATGGAGTGGAGTGCTCATTGTCTTGTCTGTGATAACTGCTTTCACTTGGACAGTTTCTTTTTTGTTTTTTTGACCATTTATGTGGATATCTTTTGTAAGTCTATTTGCATGTAGCTGTAAAAATAGCCTGTAGTTTTTTAATGACCTTTTTTCATAAAACTTGAAACATTGTTAGTCTTTTAATTGTCTTAGGGTCTCTATTGCTGTGAAGAGACATGACCACAGCAACTCTTATAAAGGAATCATTTAATTGGGGCTGGCCTACAGTTCAGAGGTTTAGTTTATTGTCATCACGGTGGCAAGCATGGTGGCTTGCAGGACATGGGTACTAGAAAGTTCTACATCTGGATCTGAAGGCAGCAGGAAGAGACTGAGACACTAAGCCTTAAAGCCTGCCCTCAGTGACACACTTACTCTAACAAGACTTGCTACACCTACTCCAACAATGCCCTATCTCCTAATAGTGCCACTCTCTATAAGCGTATGGGGACCATTTTCTTTCAAACCACCACTTTTAATTATGTGTTAAAATAGAAATTTTTGATGATTATGGACAGGCATCCTTTGTGACTGTACCATAATTTATTTGACTTATGTTAACTCTCACGAATTGTTTGTTTAGTTTTTTTGCCTTTTTGGGTTGATTTTTTTTTTTTTATTTTTAATGACATTTATTTATTTTGGTTGTTTGTGTGCTTGAGCATTTGCATGCCACAGTGTATATGTGGAGATCAAAGGACAACTTGTAGGGGTCTGATTTTTCTTTCCACCGAGTTCTGGGATGGATCTCAGTTCATTGGGCTTGTGTGGCAAGCCCACCGAATCATCTCATTTTACCTACTCAGTCATCTCATTTACTCCAATCCTATTCTTTTTCTGAGACTGCCCTTTTGATATAAGGGTTCTTTTTGTTCTGTGCACAGTACTGAGGTGATACTCTACCGTCTTCCCAGGCATGTTTCCTCCTTGCAGAAGTAATTTCAGTCTCATAATGGTGTGGATGTTGCAAGTAACTGTCTTGATCCTTATTTGCTAGATATGATCGCTTGCTGGAGACCTGCTCTATTGCTCTTGTGGGCAAATACACCAAATTCTCAGACTCGTATGCCTCTGTCATTAAAGCTTTAGAGCATTCTGCATTGGCTATTAACCACAAGTTGGAGATCAAGGTAAGGAAGGGTGGGGTGGGTACAACTAAGGAGTAAATGAAAACAGCTTGTGTGTGTGTTTTATACATTAAAAAATTGGTTGGGTGCAGGTATATGTGGGTACATGTGTATGTGCCATGGTACACGTGTAAAGTTCAGAAAATAATTAATAGAAGTCATTTTTTTTCTTTCATAATGTGGGTCCTAGGGATTAAACTAGGTTGTCAAATTTGACAACAAATGCCTTTACCCACTGAGTCATCTTGAAGACTCAAGCCTTGTGATCTTGTAGATACTCCATACCTACCTGCTTTATGGTTTTTGGACCTCTGCATTTATTTTTAGGGATAATAAAGATTCATGTTGGTTTTGGGTTCCAAGGAGATACCAGAGTATTTCTCAGAAATAATGAAGGGGCCTTAGTACATGGTTCTGAGTGTCAGTCTCTATGGAATGGGAGGGCTGTTGTAATAGGAGCGTTGGGGCTGCATCCCCAACACCCCGGCCGCCTGGCTAGCTTATGCCCCGAAATAACAACACACAAATTGTATTCATTTAAACACTGCTTGGCCCATTTCTATCTACCCTCTTCTATGCTAATTCTCACATATTAATTTAGCCCATTTCTAATCATCTGCATAGCACTGCTAGGTGCACTTACCGGGAAGATGCTTACCTACGTCCATCCTGGATTGGCGCTTCACCTCGTGTGTCTGCCCGGGAGCGGGGAGCATGGCGTCTCTGAGCTCACTTCCTCTTCCTCCCAGCATTCTGTTCTGTTTACTCCTCCCACCTATGTTTTAACCTATCAGGGCCAAGCAGTTTCTTTATTGCTTAACCAATGAAATCAACAGATTGATATATGACACTACCATATCAGAGGGCTTGGTGGACATAGGTATAGTGCACAGCTGATGGTACCACCAAAGACTTTGCCAGTAGCTGCTCTGCTCCCATCAAGTGTCATGATTAAAGGCACAAACTACAGAGCAGGTGGCCAGTCTTAGAGTGCTGGATCTGCTGCCCAAGTGCTCTGAGCTTGGATGTCTTAATCTGCCTGGGTTTCCTTTAAAAGGGGATTGTGATAGTGGTTTCTCCTGTGGTTAAGAACTAAATGGTGCCGGGCGGTGGTGGTGCACGCCTTTAATCCCAGGACTAGGGAGGCAGAGGCAGGCGGATCTCTGTGAGTTCAAGACCAGCCTGGTCTACAAGAGCTAGTTCCAGGACGGGCTCCAAAGCTACAGAGAAACCCTGTCTCGAAAAACCAAAAAAAAAAAAAAGAACTAAATGGTTTACTTGGAACGCTATATAGTAACTGCTGGATGTAGTCACTTCCTTTGGAAGGTGACTGGTCCATTTAGAGTTCTTGTTCCTGTTGCACTGACTGGAACTTTTCAGGAGGTGGAGGAGAGAAGTGAGAGCTTGGAGCCTAGTGGTCCATGAATACAGGTTCCCACAGAATGGTAACATAGACCTAGATGACCCCATTTTACTATCTGGACTTTTTTTTTTTCCTAGTTATTTACATCACTGATTAATTTTATCTATTTGAAATTAGTTTGTGGCCACCTTGTGTTCAGTGAATGGAGGCTGAGAGAAGAATAAAGAATTAAAAGCCCCAGTTTTTTAGGAACACCGAGGCTCTCAGACATAGAACACCTAGGAAAGATCACTTGCCTTGGTAGATATATGAGAGAGGAAGGCCCTAAGGAGGTTGAGAGGGCTTGGGAAGGCAGAGGGAAGGAAGGGTGTCTGATATTCAGAAAGCATTTTCTCAACTGAGGCTCCCTCCTCTGTGATGACTCTAGTTTGTGTCAGCTTGTCATAAAACCAGCCAGTACAGGGTACTATTCCTAAAATGGTTATATCTTATTTTTTATAAATCATACTTTCATTCAGGTGGGAGAAAAATGGAAAAACCAGCTAGCAAATAAACCAAAAACCTATGTGGGATGGCCTGTGGAGAGTGTCATTTGAACAAAGGACAGAGCCTTTTCCAGTGACTTACTTGCAAGATCTAAATACTCCAAGTGGAGTGGGTAGAATTGGACTTGACGGTTAAATAATCTTAAGGGGGACCCTTAATTAAAATATTATTTTTTATTAAATACTAAATTATTGAATTTAATTATGTTCACTTTAAACTGAAATTAAGGGAGATGGAACATTGATAATGTTATTTGAAAGTTGAGAGGTATGGTTGGATTCATAAGCTTCTGTTTTTCTCTCTGCGTGGTGCCCCAGTACATTGATTCCACAGATCTGGAGCCCAGCACCCTGCAGGAGGACCCTGTGCGTTACCATGAGGCATGGCAGAAGCTCTGCAGTGCTCAGTAAGTAGCCTTCTCTGCCAATCCACATAGACCTGTGCTTCCAGTGCTGAGGGAGGTCTTTTGCCTGTTAAAATGTCTTTTAATGATTAGACAGCCTAGTAAATGGAATAATTTGTTTAAAAAAATGCGACGTTATAGTTGGATCTAAAGAAATAAACTCTCATTTTACTGATACTTCATGGGGCTTAAATATTGTTTTCATCTGGATCATTTGATGAGTAGCCATCAGTTGAGTCTCATAAATTGTTTTTGATAGCTGCTGCTAATACTAATGTAGGGCAAGTGCTCTGTCACTAAACCACATCCCCAGGTCCTCTTAAGAGAAGGTTTCTCTGCTTAGCCCTGTTCGCCCTAGAACTTTAGTCTGGCCTTGAACTCAGAGATCTGTCTGCCTCCGCCTCCCAATCATTGGTATTAAAGGTGTGTTCCACTATGCCCAGTTAGATTTTTCTTAAAATATAAAAAATAGAAGGAAGTTTGAATGCACTAGAGCAGTCAGTGTTATGAGGCTCTGAACTACTGCTGATTTGCTTGGTCAGTGTGGTGCACTGCTGAGGCCCCTCATGGAAACTGAGGAACTGGAATCCAGAGGAAACGTGCGCTGACTGCACTTTGAACATACCTACAGTCTGGTATTTAGGAGGCTGAGGCAAGGGGGATTTGTGAGTTTGGAGCCAGTCTGGGCTATACTGAAAGACCTATCTCAGAAAAGAAATACGAATGATGAATTAGGGTCAAGGACAGTAGCAGCAGCATCCTGATAGCCCATGTTTCTGTTTGCACTAAGTTTATTGTGTTTACATTCACAGAATGTGTACCCCCAGTCTTCCAGCTGTAGTCTCAGACCCCCTGGGGGCTTAGATATATGGGAAGTTAGTTCATGGCTCAGTATTTTGGAAGTGGCTTCTTTGGTATGATTAAGGGCTGGATTAGTGGAAAAGGGAAGTTGCTTTGTCTTCTTCTCTCTGCAGTGGAGTGTTGGTTCCAGGAGGATTTGGTGTTCGGGGAACAGAAGGAAAAATTCAAGCAATTGCCTGGGCTAGGAAACAGAAGAAGCCTTTTTTGGGTAAGGAGCCCTGCTGTGCCCTCTTCACTCTGTAGAGAGAAGAATGAGGAAGATGCCATTTTTTTTTTTTTTTTTCCTAGAGAGGAGAGGAATTTTCTGGGGGAAATTCAATTATATTTTCTTATGTGTATGTGTGTAGGAACATGTCATGGCATACATGTAGAAGGCAGAAAACAACTTGTCATGGTTCTCTCCTTCCACTATTTTGTCCCAGGAATTGAGCTTAGGTTATTAGGCTTAGGTTAGCACTTTCAGCTACCGAGCCATCTCATTGGCCCTCAGATTCGTAGTATGGAAAGTTTTTGAGCTACATGTAAATAACAAGGAATTTTGAGAAAGTGAACTGAGATAGGAAATGTTTGCAGTGCATGTAAGGCTGGGTTTTGTGTTATCCTCACTTGGCAAAACAGCCAGTAACTGGGCCGAGTGATTTCTGGATGCTTCCTGTTGCTGCACAGTTAAGTGGTTTTCAACCTGACCAACCTGGAAATGAGCACATAATGAGAAAGAATTGGGAGCGTGGATTTTTAAGGTGCCGAGTGGAGTTTCATTTCTTTAACTGAGTAGCTTTGCAGAACCCTGAATCTTCATGTGTATATAAGTCCTTGTTTACTTCAGCAGGTAAAGCTTTTGGGTGTTTCAGACATGATGTTAAGCATATGATTTCCACTCAAGACACAAAGACAGGCTGGGGGGAATGGAGGAGTTGCCCTCTCAGTGGAGATTGACATTATTTTTCCTTCTCTTGGAAGGTGTGTGCTTAGGAATGCAGCTAGCAGTGGTAGAATTTTCAAGAAATGTGCTGGGATGGCAAGGTAAGTGTCTTGTTTAGCAACTCATTCCTGGCCTGAAAGCCATTGTATGCTGGTGGTTGAGAGCTGTGAGTATGATGCCTGTTTTCTCAGCAAGTCTCAGTGTTCAGGGAAGAAGGCACCTTATTCATAGTGGTGCAAGAATCCCTCTACATATGCATGAAGTAGCACTTGAGTGAACAGGTCTTTGGCTGTTGCCCTGCATGTTTTGTCTCAAGATTCTTACTTTGAACACAGTGACCACCACCCAGATGTTGTCCAGCAAGAAGCCACTGATGTACAGAAGGATGGTGTAGTTATAGACTTGGGCTCAAGTTCTGGCTTTATCACTAAATATATAGGTAGTTTTAGGCAACTTAGTTTTTCTGACTTCTGTTGCCTATAGAATAGGCATCACTTCACACAGTTGAAAAAAATGAGGTGAAGCTGAGTGATGATGGTGGCATATGCCTTTAATTCTAGCACCCAGGAAGCAAAGGCAGGTGGATTTCTGTGATTTCAAGGCCAGTCTGGTCTACAAAGTAAGTTCCAGGACAGGCAGGGCTACCCAGAGAAACCAGGTCTTGAAAAAAATAACAGCAAAAGTAGGTGAAACACTATAAACAAATAGTCCCTATCAGTTCCTGCCAGAAAGTGTAAGATCTACTTGTAACTGGATGACTATGAGAGACTAGACTTCTCACAGTGCTGGCTTTTGAGCTTGCTACAAAATGAAGCATGTAGGTATGAAAAAGCTGTCTGTAGTGTGAGAGCCTCTGGGCAGCTGGCTTGTGGCCAAGGCTGGGTTCCACCTCACAACCCTGGGGACCATGGCTCAGTGGGGATAAGCAGCTTGTCCTTTATTTCTGGTGTCTGAGTCTTCACAAGGACTATGCTCATCACCCGGAGCTGGCATCTAGGATTCTTGGATGCTTTTACACTCAAGCTCAAGCTCCTCCCTCCCCCTGGGGTTCCTAGTTGGGCAAGTGGCCTTATGATATGCTTAGCCTGATTTGGGCCCAGGCAGGAAACAGTACCTTACATTCACACAGAAAGGGATTTGATCCTTTGCCTTTTTGCCTAGTGCAACCTATAGGAAGGTAGTTTATGTTGAAATCAGTTAACTTCCCACCTTTTTCAGAGACTGAGACAGTGAGTTTCATGATGACCTGGACTGTACAACAAGACCTTGTCTCAAATTAAAAATGAAAAAGGGCTGGACATTTTGCAAGGCCCTGGATTCATTCCCAGTGCTGCAAAGAAAAGTAACAGCTCAGCTAATTCCTAACTTAACTGAGGATGACAGCATATTAGATGCTGAGGACGGAAGGCAGAGGGAACAGTTCTTACTCACCTTAGAGAATCTATAACAAAATGAAAAATTAATGTAAAAACTGTTATCAGAGAAACAATCTAACATGATTTTTATCCACCTTGCAGTTTGACTTCCCAGAAAGATAAAGATTTGATAGGGCGAGTTCACGGGTGTTTAGTCCTATTTTACTGTCCCCTGAAGGGATAAAACTATGTGATTATATTTTAATTATTATAGCCGGGCAGTGGTGCGTCCGCCTCTAATCCCAGCACTCAAGAGGCAGAGGCAGGGAAATCTGTGAGTTTGAGGCCAGCCTGATATACAAAAGCTAGCTAGTTCCTGGACTGCTAGTACTGTTACACAGTGAAACCCTGTCTTGAAAAAAAAGCAGACGAAACAAAAAAATTTACTAGTTCTCTCTCTCTTTTTTGGGGGGCCTTGTTTTTTGCTTTTTGTATTTTGAGACGGAGTCTCACTGTGTAGCTCTAGTTGGTCTTGAACTCTCTGTAGATCAGGACTTTAACTCACAATATTTTCCGTGCCTTTGTATCTTGAGTTCTAGAATTAAAGACATGTGCCACCACACCTGGCTTTTGGTGTTCCATAACTTTGTAACAATTTATTTTTATTTTTTTTTACTTTGTGCATATGAATGTTTGTAAGTGCATTCTATTTGCCTGGTGTCCATGGAGGTCAGATGGCACTGGATCCCCTGGAACTGAAATTATGGATGGTTGTCAATAGCTGTGTGGGCACTAGGAACCAAATCTAGGTCATCTGGAAGAGCCGAATGCTCTTAATTATTTGGCCATTAACTTTAAACAGAGAAAGAGATCGTGATTTGTTGCTTAGCATGAAACAATAACAGGTTTTGTTTATAGCTATTTTCATAACTCAAATATTTTAACTTTTCAGATGCTAATTCTACAGAATTTGACCCTAAGACTAGCCATCCTGTGGTGAGTCAAGCATTTGAACCTCTCAGGGCTTAGAAAGGGTGGAAGGACGTCTCTGAAGCAGGGGATGGCAGACAGGCAGTGAGGTCACTGCGTCCCCAAAACCCTCAGATCTCATGATAAGGACTTTCTGAGTTTTCACTTAATTCCTTACCAGTCTTTTCAGGTAACCACAGGAAATCTGTAATAGACAGGTATGGTCCCTGATAGCAAGGAGACAGCTCTCCTGTCCCCTCAGTTCCTGGTGGGAAGTGTGTGGGGGTGGAGGCTTGTTGATGGTAACCATTGTTCTCAGAGTTCCATAAAGCAGTTCATGTTCTCTTGGGTACCAATCCTGAAAGATAGACAGGCTCAGGGTTGACAAGCTCGGAGTGGTGATTTCTTTAGTGGTAAGCAAGGCTTTTTCCAGACTGCAATACTGCTGCTGTTGATCACCTAGATATGTGGCCTAGACAGCCTGTGATGGTACTGAGGTTCACTGGGGAGGAGCTTTGTCTTTGAATCCCTAGCCCATGAGTGACAGGCATACTTAAGCATTTTCTTTTTCAGTATTCAGCAAATGCTAATCATTGGTTGTGTACAAGGAACTGTTTTGTCGCTGAGAAGATGGACAGGTTTTTGATCTCAGTGACTTAGCATCTGTATATTAGGTGATCTGAAGTTGGAGTTTTGTTAATGTAAGAACAGTGGGATGAGGGAGTGGTGCATAGGGAAGCCTGGAGGAGTTTGTAAGGTGCTCAGGCATGCTGGGCCAAGAGGCAAGCCATTTCAGCCCCCTTTGGGGTGCCACAGTCTCCCTGTTCATAAACTTGTTAGTGGCTGTTGGTCTTTTGTACCCTTTTTTCAGACCCAGAGGACAGCCATGTCTGACTAGTTAGTCTTGTGGCCATATTAGTGTGGTGCCACAGCACAGAGCCTTTGACCTCCCAAGGGGACAGCATCATGAGGCAGGCTGAAGCACTGAACTCCTTTCTTGGAGTGCTTCACTTGGGGAAGGAGGTCTGACTTTAACAGCAGCAAATGTGGAAATCAGATTTGTTTTCTGAACATCTCTAGGTCATAGACATGCCAGAACATAATCCTGGGCAGATGGGTGGAACCATGAGGCTGGGCAAGAGGAGAACCCTGTTCCAGACCAAGAACTCAGTCATGAGTAAGTTGTTTCACATGAGTCTGGCTTTTGTCCTGGTTTATACAGGGCACATGGGCTAGGTGGTGCTGTAGCTCCAAAGAGCCAGGCCAACTTTTTCTTGGCCTTGTTCCTGTTTTTGCAATTTTTTCTTCCTCCTTTTCATGCTTGTTTAGGATGTTCTGTGTTAGCTAGATGGTCTCTGGTAATGCAGACAAGCCATTAGGTTAAATCCATTGCAATCCATGGTTACTTTCTTATACTAGTAAATAAAACTATGCAGAATTTGATGGTTAAAGAAAAAAATCACAATTTCATATAGTTTAAATACATTTTATTCTAACAAATAATCATGGTTAAAAACTTAGGAGAATTGGAGGAGGAAAATATCGAAGAAAATTAGTAGACATTGCCTTGCCCAGTGGAAACATTGCTTTCTATATCTTGTGGGAGTTCCAGTGGCAGACTAGTTTGAGAATCACTTGTACCATTTTCCAGTTTTTCCAGCTGTGCTGTTATATGGATTTGGGGCCTCAGTAGGCAGTGAGGAGCGAGTCAGTAAGCACCCCATTTCCTCACACTGCTTGTTTATCCACAATCACCAGGCACCAGCCAGCTTTTCATTTCCCTTCCAGACACTGTTCTGAGGGCCTGTCCTGTCCCTGTGGTTCCAGCATCACAGTGCTTTGCATTTAGCAGTGATTGTTCAAGGGACCCCGTGAAAGTTTGTTCCTGTTCTGGTACTTAGTTTGGGCAGAGGAGTCCGAGCCCCAGGAATTATCTGAATTATATATATCAAGAGCAGATGGCTAGCAGAATTTTTGGTTGCCTGGTTTACTACCTACATGATGGAGTGAATTGGGAAGTTAGTAGTTTACATAGATTGTTTGTCATACAAATTGCCTGGTTTTCTGTAGGGAAACTCTATGGAGACATAGACTACTTGGAAGAGAGGCACCGCCACCGATTTGAGGTGAGGATGTGAGCCTGCTCCTTCTGTTACTCTGCAAAGAAGGGAATGGAGAGGCCAGCATAATGAGTTTTCCTGCCCCCCAGGTGAATCCAGTCTTGAAGAAGTGCTTGGAAGAGCAAGGCTTGAAGTTTGTTGGCCAAGATGTTGAAGGCGAAAGGATGGAGATTTTGGAGTTGGAAGGTGACTGGGTAGTGATAACTCCTCGGTTTGTGGGAAAATAGAAAAATGTGTTTCCCAGGTGAGGCGGTGTCACACACTGCAGTTCCAGCCCTTAAAGAGTTGAGGGAGGAGGATGAGTTCAGGTTAGCTGGGGCCAGAGCCAGATAGACCATGTCTAAAGAAAAACGAGGAGGCAGCAGTGTCTGGGCAGCAGTTTCTGTCACAGTTCTGGAGAGGGGAGGTGCATCCCTAAGCCTGGCTTCCAGAGCAACCATGTAGCCCTGGGCTCTCCCAGCATGAAGAGCTGGACTTGGTGCTAAATTCCTTTCAGATTTCATGTGAACTGTAGGCAAGTCACAAGATACTCAGGACTCTGGAGAGCAGGAGCCTCAGCCCTGAGGTATATGGTATTGAGGAACATGTCAGCTCCCTCCTGCTTTGGAATACCTTTTGCCTTGAATTTTCTTTCAAACACTCTTAGGGTTTATTTGTCTCATCTTTGTATGCACAGAATACTAATTTTTCCTTCTGAATTTGTTGTGTTGCAGATCACCCATTCTTTGTTGGGGTGCAGTATCACCCCGAGTTCCTGTCCAGGCCTATCAAGCCCTCCCCACCCTACTTTGGCCTCCTTCTGGCCTCTGTTGGGAGGCTCCCACACTACCTGCAGAAAGGTTGCCGGCTCTCACCCAGGTAGAGATATTAATCACAGTGAGTCTCTAAGAAAAAGCCATTTGGCAGGTCCTTGCTATGCTGTAAAGGTTGAAGGTTCCCGTCCTTTTCCTGGGGTTTTGTTAGGCTTCCCCTGTCTTACTGGCCAGGCCTCATTTCTATGATTTCTGGTTGTGGGAATGCTGCTGAGCAGATCCTGTCCATGGCAGGTGGGTCACAGCCAGGTGGGCTTATGCCTGATTACTTTTATCTGAAACCAGTTTCTCTCAGTAGGTGGCAACCATATCAGTATTGAAGTACTCAGAAGGAAATCCCTCCACAGCCTCACATGTGTGGTAGAGATTGTTGCCATGTGTGGACATACTATTGTATAACGGGTTACAGAGATGGGGAAGTAAATTGTTAGCTGGGAGATGAGTAAACCTGTATTTCACAGGGACACTTACAGTGACAGAAGTGGGAGCAGCTCCCCCGACTCTGAAATCACTGAACTGAAGTTTCCATCAATAAATCAGGACTGATCTGGTAAGTGACGTTTTTAATGTCTATTTAAAATAGACGGTCTCTAAGAGCTCACTGGCCAGCCCACCCAGCTGTATCAGTGAGCTGCAGAGACTGAGTTGTCTCATAAAGTAAACTGAAAAGTGACAGGAAGACGCCTGCCAGCCTGTCCTCCACGTAGAGGGCACACACAGGTGCATACACCCACACTCCCCTCCACACACACAGACATTTGTTAGTCATTGGGAGTGCCTGTCCCTCAGCAGCCTTGAAGCAGGCTGCCACTTTAGACAGAGTGCTTGTATCTGGCTGAGCATAGCACAGAGGGTTGCTGCACATCAAGGTGTGTGGTTCTGTGGAATTGCAAATGCAGGCTTCTGCCATTTTCCCCACAGGAACAGGCCTCGTTCCCTGTGGTGGCTGGCAGCTGACCAAGTTCTGACACTTCTCTAATCATGTAATTCTAGCATTTTTTTTTTAAACAGGATGATTCTTCAAGAAAGCCTTTGACCTGATAGTTTACAACTATGATTTTACACTCTGCTTTTGACACTTCCTTTAAATTATGTTTTTATTAAGATTATTTTATTATGGGGAAAAAGTACTTGGAAGACTTTGCCACTTGCATGTCCTATCATTTATATTGGCTCCTGCGACATACCTGTTTGTGAGACAATTCCTTTGCAGTTGTGTTTCTGGCATGGGAAGTAGGACTTTGGATGGGACCTGATGGTGGCCAGCGGCTGGTTGAAGGCCATCAACCACTCGAGTTACTGCCACTCAAGTGCGTTGCTATTATTTCCCTGGGATGCCAGCTCTTCCAGTGCTGGGCTTCTGACTGTAGGTATTGTTGGAATCTCGGTCCTGCTGAGTTGTGGGGGACTTGGTGCCAGTTGTGGCCCTTGTCATCCAGAGGGATGTTTGGTTCTTAGGCACATCAGACAAGCTCTATGAAGTGTCACATAAAAACCTTGGGGCTCTGGCCGCACTTCCTGTTTGTGCAGCTCAGAACACTCCTTGCATCAAGGGGTCAAGAAAAGAGCAATCTTGGGAACTAGTTATGAGCCCTCTCTTATGTATGCAGCATTGGTTTGGGGGTATTTTTTCTTCCAGAATGGTGTTATTGCATCTGAAATGCAATTCGAAAAGTTATTTTCTTAATGTGACATAGCAGTGGGTGTGGCCATGTGCCCACACTATGGTGGCTGACTCAATGTATACTCCTAACTTAATAAATAATGAGGAACCATTGATGTGCGTTCTCATTCTGTCACTGGTTGGTGTGTTTTTCCTTGGGCACTGAGCTTCAATGCTGGGCTGTTCCTAAGCCAGCAGTCTGATGCTTTGTATCAAAGTAAGATGCAAGCCTTAGTAGCAACCAGGATTTCTCAGCAAGGCTTCAGTTTGTCATGACATACCATGTACCAAGGGATTCAAAGCCAACTGCTGCTGTGTGTTACTCAGCTGGGGAAAAGCAGAACCATGGGCTGCCTGGACAGGATCATTTGCTCACTGCAGACAGGGCACTTCACACATGGAGCCACACAGCTAACCAAGGGCTATTTTAACCAGCTGGTCTTCTTTCTCTCACTCTGCACCCATTTGTGACCTCTAGAGTTGAGGCTCAGAAGTTCAAGGTCACAGGGACTAGATTCTTTTCAAAGTCAATTATGAGGTGATGGTGGCAGCATTCACTCACTCAGGCTGCAGGCGTAGTTGTGTATAGGTGGTAAAAGTAATATCCTTCACTTGCTGTAAATTGAGACATGGAGCCTTGGGGGCAGGGATATGTGTCTCGCCAGTTAGCCCAGCTACCTCAGACTCAAATTTCCTGGTCCAATGCCACTATCATCCTTGAGGCCTCCTGATCAAAAGCATCCTATCTTTCTCTCACTTCTCAGTAAGCTTATGTTTACTTCTATGTAGATCCTGTCTGGGTTGTAGCTGATTGTACTTCTAACTCTCCTTCCCTACCCAGTGGTTTCATTTTTCCCCATGCAGAGGCAGTGTGTCCCAGAGGGCTTGGCTGGGTGTGGAGTGGTTTGGAAGAGCTGTTTGGAATGCTTTTCTGATGGAGAGTGATGAAGATGGCCTCACTATTGACCAGTTGCCACATGCCAGCTACCTGTATAACCTGTCAGCAAAAAGAAAAATCCCTGGAGTTTGCCATGGTGCTGGAGGGCGGCCCTCTGTGTCCAATGACTACCAGACCGCAGGCTTCTCCCTAGCCGGAGGGAACCTGGCAGGCTTCTATGTCCTTAATGTGTTCGCCTCAGACCTAGGGGACAAGGGCAGGTGGCAGCTGTGCTTCCTGTGACTACCTGCCTTAGCAGAAACCAGCTTCCAGAGAAAAATACTTCCGAGGATGTTGCCTCCTGGACCAGAATCTAACATGGGTTGATGATACCCAGAACATTCTCTGGCTTCTTGAGTAATGACTTAATTTTTACATTCATTTATTTTGATTATCCTGGGGCTCAAGCTAGTGAGCGAAATGTTCTACCACCGGAGCCACAACTCAGCCTTAGGAGCGCATTCTTTTCTCTTTTCTTTTCTCCCCCTTTTTTTATTTTTCCGTTCAAATATTTAGACTTCCTTCCCTCCTCCCTATCCCCTCCCGCTCCCCCACACCCCCTTCTCCCTCTCCCTCCCTGCTTGAGAGAGGGCAGGGAACTGCCCTGTGGGAAGTCCAAGGCCCTCCCTGCTACATCCAGGCCTAGGGAGCTGTGCATCCATACAGAGTGTGTTCTGGCTTTTTAGGAGCGCGTGGAGCCCTGTGAACACCAGTGTGTGGTAAATGTCTTGAACATTTCTGATGATGTTTGGTCCCTGGCAGCATTGTAAGTTCTGGTGGGGGTTGTATTCTGTTTGCTGCATGGAAAGATCAGGTTTTGAGTGGTGAGTGGTCCAGGGAGTGTCCAGTAGCTGGTGAGTGGGGCATGGGAGCTGAAATTTCAAAACTCGTGTGTGCACGTGTTGAGGATACAGTGCCTTTTTCTCTTTGATGCCTACTCTGAATGTGGCTGAGAACCTCAAGAAAGGGAGAGTGGATAACTACTTTCGTTGTCTTATAAAATGTTATTTGTCAGTACTTTAAAAGTACCCTTGATTGTCTCATTAGGGAATTAGGTACCTACCACATGCCTGTGTTCTGAACACAGACCATATCCCTGGCCTGCAGCATGTACTTCAGTGGGAGAAACTGACATTGCTATGGAGAGGAAAGGAAGCCAGACACAGTTGCTCCTCTTCTAGAATAACTAGCTAAGTTTTCCGAAATCGGGGTTCCTTGGTGGTGTGCCAAGAGCTGATCATCAGCCTGTTCGGAGGTGAAGCCACAGCACCTGCATGAGCAGTGCTGAGGGAGAGAGGTGGTAGCCCATGTATGTTTTATTCCAGGCCTTAGCCCCCATCTTCCTTAACCTCACAGGACGCAGCAGCTGCAGGACAGGGACCGCCGCTGCTGAAGCTGCTGCTGAAGCTGCTCCTTTTCCACTGTTAGCACCTTCACCTTCTCTTCCAGCTTGCCCAGCTCTATCGTCCACTTCTGAGAGGACAAGTGTGACAGTGATAATCAGGCTGCCAGTCTTCTTTTCTGGGATGGGCCGTAGCCTGGGGGCCCTGGTTACGCTGATGCCTCTGACCAAGGAGCTTGAGGTGCCTGTATACTCCACTGGGATGGAGCCCCCTTTGCAGCCTCCCAAGGGCTGGCACAGGGACCTGATCACCACCTGACCATGTCTCCAGTGTCAGCTCCCTTGCCCTCTGTTTTTCACTACCTGGTGGTTCTCTCAGAAAGACTGCACCATGGGACTCAGTCCGGCTTTCTGTTACCCCCTCACCAGGCTCTACCCAGGTACAGTGCATAACATTTGGGGTTTCCGTATAGCACCTCAGTAGTCCAATCTCCCTGATCCCCTGGTCCTCCAACATAATGGCTCAATGGGCCAGGGTGGGTGGCGCTTTGTGCTGTGGATTTGGGTATAGGTTTTAAAATGACTGATGGGCCGGGCCGTGGTGGTGCAGCCTTTAATCCCAGCAGGAGGCAGAGGCAGGTGGATCTCTGGGAGTTCGAGGCCAGCCTGGTCTACAAGAGCTAGTTCCGGGACAGGCACCAAAGCTACAGAGAAACCCTGTCTCGAAAAACCAAAAAATAAAATGACCGCTGGGACTTTCCCTTTGGCTACTGAGCTGTGGAATTTGGGGGAGGAGGCAGAGTTCCTTTCATCCAAGCCCTCCCTTCTCCAAGCTTGCCCAGCCCTTTAGGGTAAGTGACTGGAGAGGTCTGAGTCTGCTTGACCTCAGCCTTTCCTTGGCCAGAGCCTCCTCACCTGCCTGCACCAGTCCTGGATGGCGCCAACAGACAGTGGGCCCTGGATGCTTCCGTCACGCCGTAGAAATACCTCCCCCTGGTCTGTCTCATAGAGCTGTGGCTCACCCTGGGCCTTGGGGGTGTGTACGGTCAGGCGGAGTACCTTAGCAGGGGCAGCAGCAGCTCAGAAGGTGCCACACCTGATGGTGACAGCCCTAGTTCCACTTTAGCAGCCCCACACTTTACCTCCCAGAAGCAGCCTGGTGGGCTTCTGCTTGCTGCTACCCACCCCTGTGCTGCTCAGCAATGTCCCAGGGCAGTCCCCACTGTTCTGAGTGACCACAGGCACTAGTAGCTCACCTTGAGAGGGGTGTTGGCTGTGGAAGTGCTTATGACTGGGATGAAGGTGAGGGTGTAGGCATCAGGGAAGACCTGGGGTTTGAAGCCCTGCAGGATGGAGTCCACCAGCAGGCGTGTGCGGTCCTCATCACGGTGGCTGCAGTGGATGCCCTGTACCAAGCCATTGTCCTCGACACCTACCAGCAGGCTGCCACCCTCACTGTTGAGAAAGGCACACACGTAGCGCCGTACGTGGTGCTTGAAAGCCAGGCTCAGGTACTCACCGCTGCCTCGCTTAAATTCCACATTCCGTGTCTCACTGCCAAGGAAGGCACCCTGGAATAGCTGCTCCTGGCCCAAGATCTCCTGGTGCACAATGGCACTATCAGAGCGCACGCCACTGGGTCGGTTCTGAGAAATCTGTCGACGCCCAGCCCAGCACCAGTTAGGGGAAGGGTCTGGCAGCTGGGGCCGCTGTGGGCGCCTTAAGCCTGGGCTGGGGCCAGGGCTGGGACTTGGGCTTGGGCCGCTGTCCTCCTGTTGGGGTGGGGATCGAGAGTGGGTGTATAGGCAAAGGTAAAAGACAAGGAGCCCTAACCTAAGAGACTGCTAGACCCCCATCACATTACTGCTAGTGGTCCTCTCCCAGGCTGAGGGCCCATGCTAGCCCGTGGGTTGGGCTCTTACAGTGGCGCCTGCTCTAGGATGCCTGGGTGGGTAAAGAGATTGTCCCTTTGGAGGTGGGAACCACCCATGGGCCAGTCTTCCCACTTGGGAGTATGCAATAGGTTCCAGGCCCCGATGTTCCCAGGAGGCATCTTGGTACCCTGTAGTTCTCTGGGCAGAGCTGTAGGGAGGGCCTTGAACTGAGGGACCCTACTCTCTTTGTTGTCCCTGGAATGTCTGCCAGCTAGCTTGCTTTCTTCTTCCTGAGTCCCTCTGTGGCTCCTGCTTTATCTCTGGGGCTCTGAGCATTTTGTTTCTGCATGGTAACTTCCTCTTCCCATCCTCTCAGGAGCTCTAAATGCCAATCCAGTGGCCACTCCCATTTCCCAGCAGCCTTCACTTCTATAGGGAAGGACACTCAGCTGGGCTGGTGCACTATAATGGACAGGACCTAGCAGCCTTCAGCTCCCCAGGGAAGATGAACTTAGCCTCAGAAACGAACAGAACTGGCACAGAAATACAAAAGCAGGTGCTCGGGCATCAAAGGTATCACAGAGCTGCAGAGCCACAGTTCACGCCCCATGAGTTTGCCCTCTGGACAGAAGACCCAAGGATATTGGTAGTATAAACTTTCACCCCTCAAAACTGGCCTGGACCCTGCTTTCCTGGGATCATGACAGCTGTAGTGATCTGGACCCAGCCTCTGGCCCAGCTTCTTCCTCAGGTGCCTCTGTGGCCTGCAGCCTCAGCTCCAGAGATATCAAACAACCTGTTCTGAACATCTTTTCTTAGAGGGCCTTCTGTACTCCCTAGCCTGGTTTTTCAGTCCCCTTTAATTTGTCTTCAGTGAGCCATGAGGGCTTGCCTGTTCTCCCACTGCCACCCCAACTTTGGGACTGGCAGAGTTGGTTCTGCTCCTGAAGGGCTTGCCTGCCTCAGCCTTGCTCTGGTAACTTATGGTGTTTGTCAACAGAACAAATGAGGTAGGCCGAGGAGAAAACTAACACTTGGTATGTATGTCGTGGGCCTCCCAAATCTGATTGGAATGCAAACATTAGTCCCTCTGAGAAGAGGGGCCAGTCATTTGAGTCACATCCCCTGGGCATGCTTGCAGTTCCTCATCTCTTCCTTAGCAAGCCTTTCAGGGGACACTTGGGTAAATGACACTTACCTCCCTGTGGTTTAAGGATTCCAAGCCTTCATTCAACACCAGTTCTTTGCCACGGGCTGTGAGCTCTTTGAGGATTAGCTGCTCCTCCATGGCCATCTGCAGACGCCAGGGGAGGGAGGCCAGGGCAGCCTTGGGGGCAGCCACCTGTACCAGTGCATAAGTGTTTCGTGGCCGCCTCACTACTTCAATGTGCTCACGGGCCACTGGCAGCTCCAGCCGCTCTAGGGTGTCTCGTAGCAGGCAGGCAAGCACGGGCACAGAGAACTGGGGGTTCAGGTGGCCCACATAAAGAGTATGTGTGCTTGGAACTGCCTTGAGGCCAGAGTCCTTGGGCGAGGACTCTTTTGGAGGCAGCTTTGGCAGGAGCTGCTTGTCCTGGGACTTCATGGGGGACTCCCACATCTGTCTGTGCTGACCTCTTCCTCTGAAGGGATTTTGGTAGTCCTCACTGCTGAACGCTCTTTCTGGGCCTGGCTTTCAGGCTGTCCAGGACGTCCTCACAGGTGCCGAGGCTTCTGGAGGCAAATGAACTGGCAGAGGCTAGGCAGGGTTAGAAAGAAAGGAGGGCAGAAGGCCAGTAAGCCGCTCTCCCCCCTTGGTGCCTAGGAAAGAACCAGGTGGACCTGAGCCCAGCCTCTCTGGGCCTGTGGATAGATGAGGGTTTGCTTGAAGGGTTAGGAGGAGTCTTTGAGGTCTCCTTCACACCCTCTAGCTGCCTTCCTAGGACCTCTTAGCTGACGCTGGGGTTTCCTCACACCTACAAGGTTCTGTCTCCAGGTTCTAGCAAGATGGTTATAGTGGGCCTCAGAGTATATAGGTCAAAGTCCCAAACTCTCAGGGTTAGTTTGGCTCTCTTCCACTTGCTTTAAAACCTGCCAGGAGGCTAGTATGGGTCATTCAAACTAGGATTAGGTTGGCAGGTTCATGGCTCAGCGGTTAAGAGTACTACCTGCTCTTCCAAAGGTGCCGAGTTCAATTCCCAGCAACCACATGGTGGGTCACAACCATCTGTAAAGAGATCTGGTGCCCTCTTGCCGATGGTCAGTTGTCCTCATCAACTTAGACCATGAAACCCAATATGGACAAGTTCAACAGAAGCACCATATATGGGCTGCCCATGCATGCTTCAGTATTGCCAGGGCATAAATTTCAATTTTTCATTTTTGGCAGGTTCTTGGGGTTTTGATATACTGACGAAAGTTATAGTCCCTCTCCATGAAAATGATCTTTGCATATATGCATAGAACTTGAGACCAGGTGATGGTGGCACACACCTTTAAAGCAAGTTCCAGGACAGACAGGACTATACAAAGAGACCCTGTCTTGAAAAAAACCAACCAACCAACCAACCAAATCCAACTTGAGATGCCTCAGGAACTAGAACTGAGCTTGCTTGTCGCCCTAGGCTTGGGAGCTCATTTACAAGTTGTGCCACAGGCCCTCCACTCACCCCCACGCCCCCAGCCTCCAACTTGGGTGGCAGGTGCCACCAGCCCGCATCTTTCCAGATTGGACTTTTGAGGTAGTTGGAATCCGAGAGCCACCGCAGCTGCAGTGGGGGCATTCAGGGCAAGCCACAAGTGGAGGCAGGAGGAGGCCTATGATCTTCATGTCCTGCTGGCTCCTGCGGGAGGCATGGGAGGTGCTCGCCCTGGGCTCTCACAGCTCCCTGGCCTCTGGGGTATTAGGACCTGGCATGGAGGCAGAGAGAAGCAGGCTCTAGGAAGTGGGCGGGGTCTGCACACGAACCTCTGTGATCTCACGAAGGCCAACAATGCCTTCTGATTGAGCCACAGGCAGCAAGCAAGAATGGTCCTCAACAACCATACTCTTGGCCAGACACTGTAAGCAGATGCAGCTGATCAAGCACCACACAGCTTGGCCATGGCGGCCTTGGAGCAGCTTCCAGAACTGAGGGTCCAAATCCACTTCTTCCCCCTGTACCACCTCTCCAGATCTCAGTGCTCACACAAGCCAATAGTTGCCACCTTTTTGGCTCTGCTGGCTAAAGTCTTTACCTCCTTGGTCCTCAACCCCAAGCTCCACAGAGTGCTTACAGGACCTAGCTGCTTCCAGGAAGAACAAAAACGTACAGGGTGGGGTTCATGGTTCCCTTGATACAAGACCCCTTTCTGTGCCAAACAGTCATTTCTTGTTAGAGGTTATAATCTAGAAGGACCTACAAATCAGCTAAGTGACATGCAGCCTCTGCCAATGAGGCCTTCGAGGGCAGCTTAGCTTAGGTAAGCTTTCTTTTTCTTCCTTTCTTTTTTTTCTCCAAGTCAGGGTTTCTCTGAGTAGTCCTGGCTGTCTTGGAACTTGCTCTGTAGACTAGGCTGGCCTCAAAGAGATCTGATCTGCCTGCCTCTGCCTTCCCAGAGCTGGGATTAAAGGCGTTATCACCACTACCCAGCAGGATTTTTTTATGTGCACTGATGTTTTGCCTGCATGCATGTCTGTGTAAGGGTGTCAGATCACCTGGAACTGGAGTTACAGACAGTTGTGAGCTCCCATGTGGGTGCTGGGTATTGAACCTGGGTCCTTTGGAAGAGCAGTCAGTGCTCTTAACTGCTAGGGCCATCTCTCCAGCCCCAAGTACCTTTCATTATTATTAAAAACTGATGTATTAGCCGGGCGGTGGTGGCACACGCCTTTAATCCCAGCACTCGGGAGGCAGAGGCAGGCGGATCTCTGTGAGTTCGAGACCAGCCTGGTCTACAAGAGCTAGTTCCAGGACAGGCTCCAAAGCTACAGAGAAACCCTGTCTCGAAAAAACCAAAAACAACAACAACAACAACAAAAAAAAACACAAAAAAAACACTGATGTATTGCTGTGTGTATGATATGGGAGAAGGAACACACATGTCATGCCACACATGTGGAAGTCAGAGGACAACTCTGGAGCTGATTCTCTCCTTCCTCAGGTCTCCAGGCTTGCACAAAAACACCTTTACAAACTGAGTCATCTTGTTGGCTCCAGGTAAAGACTTCATTACACACTTTCCCACTTCTAGTAGCCCTGATTACTGGGAGCAAGGGGGAGACCTTCAATCAAATAGCTGTTTGCCTTCCTGTGGGCAGCCAATTTGAAGGCATGCCTGAACTTTTTGGTGCATGTAGATTGGAGGCAGAAGCTTGGGCGGGGAACTTGATTGAATTAAGACAATGGTGTACAGACAGGAAGAGACCCAGTCCCTCAGAGAGGCTGAATGAGGCTCTGTGAAGACCTGGCAGGTGCTAAATGGCTCATCCCTGCAGTCACACCTGCCCCAGCTGTCCCTAGTTGAGTCACTCAGCAACACTAAAGCTTGGTGTGCTTCCTGGCTGTTGTCTCAGGTTGCTCTGTCTACACTATGGCTCCAGACAGCCTTCTCCTCCTTCTGTAAATCTGTTCCCACCGGAAGCCAACAGGTTGTGTGACCCTGGGATTGGGTGCCAGGCCCTGGTCAGTGCAATGGGTACCATGCAGGCCTGCCTGTTCTGCCTCTCTTTTCACCTCACAAGGAGAAAGCAGCCTACTGAGGCTTCTGGGAGTTGCCAGTCCCTGGGCTGCTCCTCCTGGCTTCATGAAGGTGCAATGTTGACAGCTGTCTAAATGACAAAGGGAAGCAACTTGGGCAAAGGCTGGGGTCCGCAAGGTGCTGGGTGCTGTGGGCACCTGGACTGCGGGACTAGAAGAGTTCCTAGAGATAATCTGGCTAAGGCTCCTTGTTTTACATGTGTAAACACCAAGATTAAATGAAGAGACAACCTTCTTGCCAAGTAATTTGGATGTCAACTGGTTAACAGGACACGGGCATTTGTATTGGTTTTTATTTATAAACAAACTGACATAAAATAGTTCAGATGGCAGTGGGGGCAGCAGTGCTGCTGGCTTGCTTAGGAGGAAGCACAGAAGCTAGCAGAGGGCAACCCCTCCAGCCTGGAGGTCCTCCGTCCCACCTTGGGGCCATGGCCTAGAGGCATTAGGCCCCATCTTTTGCAGCAATTCTGAACAGGGCAGGGAGCTATGATGTGGGCAGGGTGGTGGGAAAATACATCAAAGAGAGAGAGACTGGGGCTACAAAGGGCCTAATGTGGGAAGAGGGACCCTCACCTTTCCATGCCCAGTCAGCCATATGCCTCTGTCCATCCCAGAGAGAAAGAGGCCTAGGGCAGTGTCCTCTGGAACAGGGTCATACTTCTCTGGAGAGGCCCTCTCTGGAACACAGAGGGTGGTCTCCTTCCTAAAAATGTCTGGTGCAAGAAAAGCATGAAGTCCAAGTGCCAGAAGCAATAAATTAGCAACAAGAAAGGAGCTTTTAAAAAAAGGTCTGCACCATAAGTTCAGAGTCTGGGGATCTGGTGAGAAGGCATGAGCTGGGGGCCATGGGACCCTCTCCCAAGCCCAGGAGGCGGTGAGGGGCCTGGGTGTCGGGGCCTTTCAAGGCCCTAGAGTTGGCCTTTTCCTCCATCTCTTTGCAAGGTGCTCAGTCTAAACTTGTGGGGAGTGGCTTGGCAAGCCTTGAGAAATAAATAGGAGGGGCCTGGGAGCCACAGCAGGCCAAGGGGAAGAGCAGCACCAGCCCTGGGCCCACACTCTTCCCTCCTCAGTCCTTCATAGAAGGACACATCATGGTAGGAGGGGCAGTAGTGGTGGTTCTCCAGCCTCCTGGAGTCCTGAGGTCACCCAGAGCCCTATGGAGGTGCCTGGGAGCTGGCTGGCGGCTTCCGGGGAGAAGAATGCCTCCTGTTCAGAACTTGCCCTGCTTCAGCCGGTCAATGTGAAAGGAGAGCTTGAGGGCGGGCCCCAGCTTCAGGCCCATGTACTTCATCATCACGTCACTGCGCAGCAGGAGCAGGGCCTTGCCATCGATCTCCTGGGGTGGGGAGGAGCCACCATCAGATGCCTGGTTGGTCTGACTGCCTCAGGTGCCAATGATGACCCAGGGCAGTGCAAGGCACACAGTGCAGTCAGGCTGTCAGGATCTTGAAGCCTGCCTGCCTTTTCATCTCCCTGGCGCTCTATGCACGTCTCTCCAGGCAGGCACTAAGGGGCTGCTCCTCCCACCTTGTTCTTCACCACTGCTTTCCTGTCCTAGGCCTCTGAGAGGCCGTGCAGTGAGCGCACCTGTGCCTTTTGTTTTGCCATCTACCCTCAAGATACACTCTGCACTGAGCCACAGTCGGCCTCTTGGGGGCAGTGGTGACTTTCAGGCTTGCTCTGGAGCCCTTGCAAACACACTTACCTAAAAGATTTCTGTGGTCAGTGAAGGGGCAGACTTTGTAACCACAGGAAGGCTGGCACTAAGCAGCACAGAAGTAGGGAAATGTGTGAGCCCTAAAGTTGGGGGTGTGGTCAGAGCAGGAAGAGCAATGCTAGGCATTGGTCTCTGGAAGGGAGCACC